GAGAGGATAAAGCAAGACAGGGATTATCCCCCCCTCCCCCCTCCCCCCCTACCTCCCTCCTCCCCCTCCCCCAATCCTGCCTCATTACCCAACCAAAAATCTACGCAAAAGGAGGACGATAAAAACGAACAGAGTGAAAAAGAAAGAAAAAAAACAACGAAAAACAAAAGGACGAATCAGAATAGAGATAGGCGAGCCCTCCTCCTCCTCCTCCTCCTCCTTCTTCTTCTTCTTCTTCTCTTCCTCTCCTCCCCTTTCTTCTCCTCCTCCTCTCCTTCTCCTCCTCCCCTCCTTCCTCCTTTTCTTCTTCTCTCTTCTCTTCTTCTTCTTCTTCTTCTCTTCTTTCTTCTTCTTCTTCTTCTTCTTCTTCTTCTTCTCCTCCTCTCCTCCTCCTTCTATCTCTTCTTCCTTTCTTTCTTCTCTTCTTCTTCTTCTTCTCCTCCTCCTCTCCTCCTCTTTCTTCTCGTCCCTCCTCCTCCTCCACCTCCTTCTCCTCCTCCTCCTTCTTCTTCTTCTTCTTTTTTTCTTCTTCTTTTCATCTCCTCCTCCTCTCCTCCTCCTCCTTCCTCCTCCTTCTTCTCTTCTTCTTCTCCTCCTTCTCCCTCCTCCTCCTCCTTCTTCTCCTCCTCCTCCTCTTTCTTCTCCCTCCTCCTCCCCCTCCTCCTCCTTCTTCTTCTCCTCCTCCTCCTCCTTCTTCTTCTTCTCCTCCTCCTCCTCCTCCTCCTCCTCCTCCTCCTCCTCCTCCTCCTCCTCCTCCTCCTCCTCCCCTCCTCCCTCTTCTTCCTCCTCTCCTCCTCCTTCTTCTCCTCCTCCTCCTCCTCCTCCTCCCCCCTTCCCCCACATCCGTCCCGCCTCATAAACAAGCCAATCCACACAGAAGAAAAAAATGCGATAAAATGCACAAATCGTAGTAAAAGAAAAAGATAGAGAAGAAGAGAGGAGAGAGGAGGAAGAAGAAGAAGAGAAGAAGAAGTGAAGAAGGAAGAAGGAAGAGAAGAAGAAAGAGAGAGAAGAGAAGAAGGAGAGAGGAGGAGGAGGAGGAGGAAAGAAGAAGAGAGAAGAAGAAGAAGAAGAAGAAGAAGAAGAAGAAGAAGAGAAGAGAAGAAGAAGAGAGAAGAATAGAAGGAAGAAGAAGAAGAAGAGAAGAAAGAAGAAGAAGAAAGGAAAGAAGAAGAAGAAAGAAAAGTGAGAAGCAAAGAGAGAAAGAAGAAAGAAGAAGAAGAAAAGAAGAAAAAAGAAGAGAAAGAGGAAGAAGGAGAAATAGAAGAAGAAGAAGAAAGAAAGAAAGAAAATGAAGAAGAAAGAAGAAGAAAGAGAAAGAAAAGAGAAGAAAAAGAAGAAGAAAGAGAAGAAGAAGAAGAACAACAAAAAGAAAGAAAGAAAGAAAAAGAGAAGAAGTAGAAGAAGAGAGAAAAAAAGAAAGAAAATGAGAATAATAAGAAGAAAGAAAGAAAGAAAAGGAGAAGAAGTGAAGAACAAACAAAAAAGATAAGAAAGAAAGAAAAAGAAGAAGAAGTAGAAGAAGAAGAAAGAAAGAAAGAAAGAAAGAAAGAAAAGTGAAGAAGTTAGAAGAAAAGAAGAAAAAAAGAAAAAAAAAAGAATAGAGGTGAGAAAAATGGAGAGCCGAGAGCGTAGTAAACCCTTTTCCTCTCTCCTTTCCTCCTCCTCTGCCACTTACCCCTTTCCCTTCCTCCCCCTTTCTCCAATCCCTTACCCTCTCTCCCCTTTTATTTCTTTCCTCTATCTCCCCTCCCTTCTTCTTCTTCTCTTCCTTTACCCTTTCCCCTCTTTCCCTTCCTCCCCCTTTCTCCAATCCCTTACCCTCTCTGCCCTTTTCATTTCTACTTCTATCTCCCCTCCCTTCTCTCCCTCTAAGCTCCCCTTTTCTCCCTTTCTCTTTCCCTCACCCTTTCCCCTTCCGTTTCCCTTTCTTCCCCTCGTCTCTGCATTTCCCCTCCCTCGTCTCACCTCCCTTTCTCTACCTTTCCAACCCTCCCTCCCTCTCTTTCTCCCCTCCTTCCTCGTCCCCTCCCTCCCTCCTTTCCCCTTCCCCCCCCTCCCCCTCTCCCTCCCTCCTCCCTTCTCCATTCCTCCCTTTCTTCCCCCTCCTTCTTCCCCCTCCCTCCCTCTCCCTCCCCCTCCCTCCCTTCCCTTTCCTCTCCCTCTCTCCCTCCCCCCCTCCTCCTCCCCTCCATCTTCCACCATTTTTCCCCCTCCTTCTCCCCCTCCCTTCCCTCCTTTCTCTCTCTCCCCCTCCTTCCCTTGTTCCTCCCTCCCTTCCTTCCCCTCCCTCCTCCCTCCCTTCCTTCCTCCTTCCCTCCCTTCCTTCCTCCTCCCTCTCTCCCTCCCCCCCTTCCCTCCTTCTCCCTCCCCTCCTCTCCATTCCACCCTTTCCTTCCCCCCCTCCCCTCCCCCCCTCCCAACCTACCTCCCTTCTTCTCCCCTCCTTACCCCTCCCTCCCTTCCTTCCCCCCCTCCCTCCCTCTCCTCCCTCCCCCCTTCCCTCCCTTCCTTCCTCCTCCCTCTCCCCCTCCTTCCTTCCCCTCTCCCCCTTCCCCTTTCTTCCCCCTCCTTCTCCCCCTCCCTTCCCCCCACCTCCCTCCCCTCTCTCCCTCCCTTCTCCTTCCTCTGCCCTCCCTTCCTCCTCCCTCTCTCTCTCCCCTCCTTCCTCCTCCCTCCTTCTCCACCCTCTCTCCCTTCCTCCTCCTCTCCCTCTCTCCCTTCCCTCTTCCTTCCTCCTCCCTCTCTCCCTCTCTCCCTCCCCCTTCCACCCGCCTCATTAACCAGCCAATCCACACAAAAGGCACTGGGCTGTTGGCACCCTGAATCGAGGTGCCACTCACGCCCGCGCCCGAGTCAACACCGCCCATTGTTCACGCCCAATAAACTGATTAAAGGAATGAAATATTCGTGGGCGTAAACATCTTGTGTTATTTATTTATTTATTTTTTCTTTGGAATATGAAGCGTGAAGTATGGTATAGGTAGGGTTAAGGGGGACGGGAATAAAAAAGGATAAGGAGAGAGTGAGAGAAAGAGAAGGTGAAGGTGAGAGAAAGAGAGGGTGAGAGAAAGAGAAGGCAAGGATATAGGCAAGGATAAGGGAAATAAAAAGAGAAGGTGAGGGTGAGAGGAAGCGAAGGTGAGTGAGAGATAGAGAAGGTGAGGGTGAGAGAGAAAGAGAGAGAGTAAAGAAGAAAGACAGAGAAAATAAAGAAGGAAGAAAGAGAAGGGAATAAAGGAAGGGAGGATAAGGGAGAAAGAAGGAGAGTAAGTGAGAAAGGAAGAGAGGACAAAGGATAAAAATAAGGGTAAAGATGAGAGATAGAAAATAAAGAAGAAAGAAAAGAAAATAAACAAAGAAGAAAGCAAGAGGGCAAGGGAGAAAAGAAGGAGAAGATAAAGAAGAAAGAAAGAGACAAGAAGGAAGAACGAAAGAGAGAATAATGGAAAAAAGAAAAGAAAAAGTGGAAGAAAAAAAGACAAACGGAATTAAATATAAAAAGAAAGGAGAGAGAGAGAGAAAAAAAATCATATCCCTTTCTGACTGACGCAAATGACCCAAAAGGAAATGAAAGTAAAAAGTTTTTTTTTTTTTTTTTTTTTTTTTTTTTTTTTTTTTTAGGTGGGGGGGGGGGGGGCGAATACCTTTTCATTATTCTATTTTCTTGAGTGACGTCAGAGGAATGGATGCGAAATTAGCCCTCTATCGTATCAAAAACTTACTTTAATAAAATGCAAATTATTCTTTTCTTTCTTATACTTTTCCTGCGACATTCCGCTGCTTATGAGTGCCACCAGACGTAACAGTGCCAGCAGTGCCAATGGAAAACGGATGCGGAGTTGACCTTTGAACTGTGACGTCATCGGTGAGGGCTTCTAGGTCACTGTTTTATACGAAGGTGATTCACTAATCTGTCATAATTAAATCTACCTGAGGATAGTATTTAGGCCTATACGAGACATATATTTGATTAGTTTATATGATGATTCGCTATGAATGAAAATTCTGGTGATTATTTAATCCGTTTACAATATAATGATAATATGCGTCTCTACATAATAGTATTATTTTGAGTCTATGATGATAATGATGATATTGATAATAATGATAATATTGATAATGATAATGATGATATTGATAACAGCAAAGACAATTAAAATAAGGTAATTAGATAATAGAAATAGTGATAATTGATGATATTGATAATATGATAATGATTGATTAATATAATGATATTATATACAGCAAAGACAATTAAAATAATGATAATAACGATAGAAATAATGATAATGATGATATGATACAGCAAAGACAATTAAAATAATGGTAATAATGATAGAAATAATGATATTAATTAATGATATTGATAACAGCAAAGGCAATTAAAATAATGGTAATAATGATAGAAATAATGAAAATGATGA